TATTTATTCTGACCACATCATATTGAATTTTTTGTAAAAAAAATTAATTAAATAAATAAAAAATTTACAGCAAAATAATTTAGGGGGGCTTTAAAATATTTTAGATAAATAGGCCTAGTGACGCCACTGCGCATTGATCTGGCATTTTTAATGTCATCTTCCAGATTATTCCATAATCTTATACCCTGGACTGAAGTACTCCGTTCCTTTAAACATGTTACAATACCATAATCAACCAAATCATTGAATTTCAATAACTTCAAGTGATGGAACAATGAATTTAATGGGTGATAGTAACGCTTCCTGGTGATAATTCTTACATTTGACCTTTACGTGGGACTGCAGGTTTTGAGACCACAGCCCAGTCAGCGCTTGAAGGCCTGCTGAAGGGGAGTCAGGCTGGGGGTGCCATGGAGGTCCCTCAAACACCGGGGCCTGGAAGAGAGCAGCGTCAGGAGATCACCACCATTTCTTTGGAGGAGAAGAAAATCCTTCTGTCTCTAGAGAAACTGAACCAGCAGCTGTCCTGTAAGCTGACCCCTCCCACATCGACACAAACAGTGATGTGATAAATATGTGAAGAATAACCACTCCGTTCTTATTTCTGTAGATTTTCAGGAACACAGGGGCCATGATGGCGCGCGTGGTCTCACAATTATTGACGCACCTTTTGTAAGTATACTTGTTTTTGTTTTGTTTTTTGTCAGTTGCATTGTCAAATGTGCCCGTTCTTCACCCTGTGATTGTGTTTTCAGACAAAAGAAATGAAAGGCACAAACTACTCCAAGCACCGCCCTGTCCTGTACCACAAGAAAGTCTGACTTTTCCTCTGGTCAGAGCAAAAACAACACTTTATCTCAAAAAATATATCAATTTATTTATTTTTATTTTTCATAAAACCATGTTGGAAGTTTTATGAAGCTACTTATAACTAAGGCACTCAGACTGTTAATGCTTGTGAAAAACATTTAAAATAAACCTGTACGCACTTTAAGTATATACGACGGAGCATACAGAAATTGTTTCATTTTGTAAATTAAAAACAGAATTTAATGAAAACTAGTATCTTGTCATTACATTGACAGCAAATTAAATAAAATTTGTCAAGACATTGTTACCTGAGTGATGTACTTCTGTTCATTAATACTTCATTATGTGGCGCTGGATGATGTGACCGAGTCCTAAAACGTGTTTCTTTTATTCATTGTGGTAGAATTATGTTCTGTTCCCCCCAGAGGACCACCACAAACCTGTTGAATTCAATTGAAACTTTTCTTGTTACATTTATTAAAGGTCTAAATGGTGTCTAAAGACAACAGCCTGCATTTGAGTTAAAGTTTTTTTAAATTAAAAGCTTCTCTGCTGTCAAACAATAGGTGCATGCAGGGGAGGGGGGCTGCAGGGATTATTGATGGGAGCTCCTCTGCCCCTCCTTCGACAGCGTGTCTGGTTTTGCCCCTCACTCAACCTGCTAGGACTTGCTCTGAGAGGTGCAAGAAGCCCAAACTCTTTTCAGCCGTGATAAAACCTTTTCTCTGTCTCTCTCGTTGGGTTTAGCCGCAGGTTCTTTGATTGATCGAAGAAGCAGCGATAAATAATGAGACGGTGACGTCTCGCTGCCATATAAAGTCATGCATACGTTCACCTTTCATCCTAAACCAAAACTGAGAACAGAGAGGATGTGTTTTTTTTTTTCTTCTTCTTCTGCCTCGGTGTGTGACGACGCCTGCAGCAGAAACCTTTTAACGAGTTCTCTGCAAAAAGATCAGAAATAGACAAATGATAGGAGCTGTTTATTTGAGAACAATATTGACGTTGCTCCTACAGTAAAAACTCACTTCTCAGAAAAATAAAATATATAAAAGGTGATATTTACCACATTTAAGCCTTTCTTATTCAACCAGGACCAGCATTCTCGTTTTAAATCAGTAACATTTCTGAAGCCTATTTGAAAAAGCAAAGTGCTCAAATATTGGAGAATATTAAAAGTCTTATTTAGAATATTGTATTTCAGCTTTTTCCCTGAACTTAAGCGGCCTAATCTGACATCGTGGTGAACATGATGACACTTAAGCTTTAAGCAGCACAGCACAGAGACCCACAGCAGAGTCTTAAAATAAAAATAATAAAAAAATTGACTTTTACAGATGCAAGTTTGGGCTTGTGCTGCGGTTTGTTGTTGTGAAGCGTAATCTCTCAAACGGTGCTGTTGCAGTCTATTCGACACGTGAAAACACCGAAGGGTTTGGCTTTTTATATTATGAAGGTGGCAGAAAAGATTTGTGTCTGTATTTTTTGTTTCAAGGAAGAGGAAAAAAAAGACTTGCTTTAAATTTGTAAAATAACAACAAAGTCCCATCATTATTTGAAGAAATGCATTTTATAAGTTGTCTCTCATGATTTTAGACGTAATACTTTTGGTCAAATTTTACTCACAAAATCAGCCCGTGAGATATTTTGCTAACAGACACAGTGATTTTACCAGATACATGAATGCTTCATCATGCTGCACAGTGAGTAGTGTTTAAATTATGTGTTGAGATTAACTTCCAGATAATACCACACCAAATATTTGTACATTTAGCTGAGTTATAGTCATTTTTGAGTTTCCTAAACTCAGTTGGAAGTGGTGACTAAATTGAATTTTATTAACTCCAAAAGTTAATCAGTTATAGATGTACATCTAATGATCATTTTCTGAGATTTTTCAAAAAATCCATCATTTGGTTCATGAGATATTTTGCTAACAGACAGACCTAGTTGACATTGTTAATGGTAAAGTTTTAAGAACAGATCTCCTACGATATGTCAGAGCTCAGAGTATGTGTTGGTGAGGACTCTTATCTATTATTACGTCCAAATTTAGCTGAATGTCTGTCATACTGACTGAGTTTTTGTGTTGAAAGTTGCTTTGCTGTGGCGGCCATCTTGAATCAGGTTGACTCCAAAATAAAATAAAAAATTGTAGATGTCTGTTATGATTACTTTCTGAAAGTTTTGATGCATTTTGGGAAGTTTGTTTCCAAATTAAGTTAAAAAAAAAAAAAAGAGTGAGAGAGAGCAGAAAGGCTGCTGTGAGCAACTTGTTGAGTGTAGTTACCTTTATCAACAGCAGGGGGCGATCAAGCACACATTTGCTAACGCATGCTGGAACTGTGCGTCACTGCTTCCGATTAGAACAGTGGTTCCCAAACTTTTTATCTTCTGACCCACAAAATATTCATGGCAAAAACTTGTGACCCCAAATATTACTGGTCTGAGTACACAAACTTTGTTAATAACCCTAAAAACACAGGCTTTTTGACAATCTAAACAGCTTGTACTTATTTATATGTATTTTGTGTTTTTGTAATAGTC